GCCACGATAGCAGGAGGTCGGTATTGCTAGACCCTTTATTAGTCCCTCTTATGCTAGTGTTAACTGGGCATTTTGAATGTACTTAGACCGGATGAGCATAAAGATGGAATTTTTACATATTATTAGCTAAGCATACTTAGCCCGGTAAAGAGTTCTTGTCTCCTTATGTCTTGCACTGGCTAGTGACAAGAACCCTCGCATATTGAGACTAGTCCCTCAATATAGCTTACTGTGTAACCCACCACCCTTGCTATCATGCTCTTTGTGTTAGTTTTATTCCAGTCCTAAATGTTATTTATGGAAAGTGTCTAGATTTGCTCATTTGGCATATTTATGGAATGTAGAGATTGTCCTAAACACAATGGTGTTCGTCCCATATTTAAATTCACAATCTAGGGACATTCTATATTTAGTAAGTTTTGAGCTTGTCCCAGACACTAACTTCTGATACTAAGGGAGGCTTGGGGGGAAAGCCCAAAGCATGTGTTCCTCAAAGGGGGAGGGGTGTTGTGGGGGGTTCCAAATGTATAGTAAGGATAGTGGGTAGGTTGGGCATGGCTGACCAACCTAAGGCATAGTATAGCTCCCGTTTGCGTGTTTATCTTTGTTCTGAGTTTGGCTTGGGTCTAAGCCCAACCTCCACACCATGCTAGCTAGTGGAGTACCCATATCCTCGCATTAGGCCATCAGTATGCTAAAATAGCACCAAACTCTATTTGGCTCTATTTTGCGTGTTGCATTAGGATGTTGAATGTTCTAGGACTATTCCAAGTCGCTTTATGCTCCTGTTCCTTTGCTCCTTAGGCTGTACGTTCGGGAGTCATTCCATGCTCTAGTGCCATTGCTCTTTGGCTCCATGCTTGGGAGTTTTGCACCGTTCTTTCATTTAGTGGCCCAAGGCCCTGAAACTCGGGTTCCACACCACTGTCCTTTGGACATGTGGCATGTAACATGTGGCATATGACACGTGGCATATGAAGGGTTTAGGTTTTGCTTCGTGGTTATCCTATGGTAATTCACCATAGAATAAAGGGTAAAAACCATGTGCACTATAGAAGGGATATGAGTATAAAGCAACATTAGAATAGTCCTAAAGCATTCAGCATCCCAATGCCAAGATTAGCACACAAAATAAATTCAAGAAAATTTTAGTATACCAATGGTCTAACGAGTGGATATAAATACTCCACTAGCTAATATAGTATAGAGTTTGGGTTTAAACCCAATCTGGACATAAATTAAGGATAGGCACACAAATAGAGAGCTAAACTATGCCTTAGGGTTGGCCATACCCAACCTACTATCCCTACTATACATTTGGAACCTCCCCCCAATATAGGAATACACGCTTTGGGCTTTCACCTTAGTCTTAAGAGTTAGTCTTTAGGACACCCTAGTCTCAAGAGTTAGTTTATGGGATAATCATAAAACTTCCTAACTAATAAATGGTGCTAGATTGCAAATTTGGATGTGGGAACAAAACCATGTTTAGGATAATCTCTATATTTTATAGATATACTTCACTAATAGATCTAGCGTATGTGGTTTTCACCCTTTACTTTATAAAGATTTATCATAAGATGATAACTTAAGGGATTTGAGGGCCATTGAACGAAGGGATAAAGCCAAACTCCCAAGCTAAAGACAAAGAGCGAAAGAACTAAAGCATGGAATGACTCTTGAGTGTATGCCTTAAGGAATGAATGGACATGAACACTTAGAGCATTTAGCATCCCAACGCCAAAACCAGCATGTAAAATAGAGCCAAATAAAGTCTAACACTATTTTAGCATATCAATATAAGCTACCAAAAGAATAACTTTAGAGGAATCACACCATTTGTTAAGATTGACATCTTGGAAGTTTAGTTTGCCTTTGGCTGGGCTTGACTAGAGGGGTAGAGTGTTAAGAGAGCAGGGCTCTCGCAGCTCTCAACTTCTGCTCACAAGGGCGTAAACTTGTAGGGAAGTATAGTGAATTATAAACAACCAAAGAGAATCACTTGAGAAACAATTCATAAGGGTTTAAATATAAAGGGGAAAAACCCATGAATAAAAATGCATCTTTTTTCTCAATCAGTTAAAAGTTTTAAGATACTTAAGTTAAGCATCATTGGGTTTAAATAATACTTGGCTGGGTGACCTTCCAAGAAGTCCAAATTCAGGAGCTTACAATCATTGGTTTAACACGAGGATATAAATACTTCACTAACTAGCATGGTATAAAACTTAGGCTTAGACCCAAATTAGATACAGAGCAAGGATAACTATGTAAGTCTAGCTAAACTATATCTCAAGTTGGTCAGCCATGCCTGATATACCCACTATCCCTACTATACATTTGGAACCCCCCACATCTCTAAAATACTCATTTTCTTTGGATATACATCCTTTCAAACACTTGTAATGCAATGTGAATAATATCTTCATTGCCAGTTGTCCTGATAAATTTAATTCTCATAGGAAACAAGGTTTCAATGATGTTACTTACAAAGGTCCAAACAAAAGAAAAAAATAAAGAAGATGGGAAACCTTGTTATGTTCAAATGGCCACCTCTAGTTTCATTGTAATGGTTGCTCAATGCATAGAGCTAATACTCATGCTGCTGTGGAACGCTGTGGTGCACTGTGGTGTGCCAGGTCCTTGGTGATATTCAAGTCATGAATCAGGAAGTAACAGCTGTAAGGATTTCCAGCAGACACAACTTCCAATCCTCACAAAGGTATGATTGAACTCTTAAATGATTTTCTTGTATATAAAGAATCTCTCATGCGTTTTCCAGCACTATAGGTAAGTGGCTTCCACATTTTTTATTCCTTCACCTTTCTGATTTGTTTCTCCCTATCACTATTGTTGGATGGCTACATAGAGTAGGAAAATAAAGCCTCTGTTCCATAATTACTGGTCTTGTTGACCCCAAGAAAACTGATCTTGGGGATTCCACTAGGTCAAGAGGTCAAACCGGGCATGATTACGTGTTGATTAGGTAAGTACAGTTTTTATTCCTTCACCTTTCTGACTTGTTTCTTCCTATCACTATCGTTGGATGGCTACATAGAGTAGGAGGATAAAGCCTCTGTTCCATGGTTACTGGTCTTGTTGACCACCAGAATAGCTGTAATTACCTTCATGTTAAAGAAGACAACACCTTCTTTCTTTTGGCAAATTGTTGCCCATGCCCAATTGAAGCCAAAAGATTGTCATGGCCGTGAGTGCATCCACAATCTGTGTATATTTCCTAAGACGTTTCACCCGACTTTGTACCCATCCCAATAATCATATCTTGTTTGAAGTAAACTTGTAGTTCACAACATGGTTGAAGCATGAGATAAAAAGCTTCTCTCCTTGAAAGTTTGGAATGCTTGATCCAAATTCCAAAAGAGTGGTGTTTCAACATGTCTGATGCTTGCAGTCACTATGCCCTAGATGTCGTGGTGGAAGCAGGGTCAGGCTTTTGTAAGAGATCATATGGGAATCCATCTTAACTCAATATTTTGCAGCTAATAAATTAAGTAAACATGAGCCAAAATCTACATAAACAGAAATACAGGTCGATAATCTAAAATATAACCTTTGAACACCACAGAAACTGGTGCCAGTCTATCAGCTCTATCAGGAGACGTTTTTGTATATGCAGAGAAGACTCTGGAGTAGATATTACGTCACTCGTCCATTCTATGAGGGATTCCACAGACGCCTTGAACAAACTTTTCTTCCAATTTGCTTTTTCTAAAGGAGTTTATCGTTTTAGCGACAGAAATTCTACAAATAAGCCCCAAATACCACTTCCTCAAAAAAATAGAACAATAAGCTGAACACTCTTTCCCTTCCATTTTCGTTCATCGCACATCGGGCTTTCTCCAGGGTGAGAAGCCGTTGTGTTGCCGGCGGATTTCCGAACTGCGTGCCCTGTCGCCTGTAGACTTTAGTTTGTCTTGCTCCCATAGATCTCGGTAGGCTGGGCAGCGATTTGCCATGGGGGCGGTGTCGTGCTAACGTCCGGCGTTTCCATATTGAGAGAAGGTCGTTTGTTGGTGTGCGGTTTCTCGGTACATTTAAAACTTGGTTTGTGCCTAACCAAAGTTATTTTTATTTCATTTTTGAATCTTGATCTGCCCTGTTTTTCTTTCACGTATTTGCTCGGATCCTCCTTGTGGATGGAAACCCTTCTCGCTAGAGCTTAGTCTAGCCCAAAACTGGTTCTTCCGTAATGAAACGGTCAATCCCAAGTAACCAATGGGCTTACACTGCACTAAATGAATATTCTGCTGTTGGAAGTTATGCATAGCCTTGCTAGGGTCAAGGAGCAGAATAGATAGTAAACATTGGAGATGTCAGCTACCTCAGCTTTAAATTATAAGCTCTGAGCAAAATGGAAGACATGGAGAGTGTTTATAGACCTCGGACTCTGTGTAGCAGCAAGCGCTCCAAGGAGACACCCATTTCCAACACGTTTGATCCATTTGTATGGGATCCTCCAAATCCACGGCGTGGAGGAGGCGCTTGGGTGCCTCCGACTCCTCCGCACCCTAAGGAAGGGGTTGTGGAAGTGACGGAAGGCTTGGTAAGTGCGAAAGTTAGGGGAGGAAGCCCATCGTTCACCCAAAAATTGATGCTGGCGAGTAGGGACAAAGAGTCACTGCTGGAAGAAGCCCTACGTCTGAAACGGATGCTCATCGATCAAGCGTTTTATCTAAAGCGGGACAAGGTTCATGCATCGACAGTCAAGATTGAGAACAGGTGATTGTTTAGCTCCGAGCATTTCATGCTTACAAGAAATAAAAAGCAGGAAGCTGGAGAACGATATTAAAGACATGGAGATGCAAACGAACATGCCCTCGTACAAGACAAGTGGAGCAACTAGAGTTAGAGCAAAACTCCAAGGTATGCTTGGTGTTTTACACTGTAAGAAATCCTAAATGTCCTATGATTAGGAATGAAGATAAGGTACGAGGAGCTTCAGAACATCTGTGATGGCCAGCACGAAGAGATAACTCACTTGCGGAGGGACGTTCGGATATCACACGCAAGAGTAAGCTAATTGTAAGCAGCAGAAGTATTAATCCAACTGCTTTTGCTCCACAGACGTATATGATACTGATTCCCCGCAGGAAATAGAAATGGAGCGGGATGTTTTCGTGGAGGAGATAGCCAAGCTGCAAAAGGATGTCAAGCGGCTCAAGTCTTTGAACAGTCAGCTCTGCTGCGAGAACAAGGAACTGTGTCGAATCAGAGACAGAGCAGGAGACCTAGAACTTGTTAATCACCATCTAGAGAATTGCATGGACGTGAGTGCTTCCCTATTCTTGGCTCAAAAAGAACCGCTTGCTGTTTTTCAGGTTGTAAGCCGGGCCCTGGAGAGCGCCAACCGTGACGTCGTGACTTATAGGCAGAGGGTAACCGAGACGAGTCTCAACGCCAGAAGAAATGCCAAGCGGTGCAAGGATTTACAAGACCAGATTGCGCTGATGAAGGATTGCCTGCACAAGGAGAGACACGATAGGAAGAACCTGGAAGCCACGCGCGTGTGCCTGGAAGCTGAGCTTATTAAAGTGGAACAAAAGATCAGAGCTAATGGTGGGAGCGTATCGTCTCCTGGGTCTCCCAAAAGCAGCAGCCCCAGGTCAGCTCGAACGATTTAGGGGAAGTGTGAGAGGTGGCCGAGACAGAGGTGACGAATGAGAGGTCAGCTCGGCCAACATAGTAAGTAGCATATGCAACCATCCGTGCACGAGTCAAAACTTGAACTGGTGTCCCCATCATTCAGCTGCTGCGGCTTCAAGCATGGGGAGCAGCTCCTGGTAGACAATGCGAATGGCGGGCCGAGCTGATGGCTCTGCTGAGATGCATCGCAAGGCAAGCGTTAGAAGCTGTTGCAGCTCCAAGCTGCCGGCATGCAGGTGAGGGTCAAAGCACTCACTGGACCTGTTGTGCGATACGAGCAGCTTAACCCACTCTGGGAGATCGACCGCAGTGGAGCCCCCAGAGATGACGTCGTCTGCAGCCTTGGCGGTGAGGATCTCGAGCAGGAGGACCCCGTAGGCATAGACATCCGCCCCGGTGGTTGGCTTTGGACGCTTGATGTTCGACAGCTCTGGAGCTCTGTAACCAAGAGCTGCCGCATTGACAAACTGGCTGGCTGTTCCCGCAGCGGTCATGAGCCTGTGCAGGCCATAGTCGGTGAGACGTCCACGCAGGTCGGATCCTTCAAACAAAACATTGGACGCCTTGAGGTTGCCATGCGCAAGCTTGTGATCGTCGTGGAGATAGCACAGGCCTCGGGCAATATCCGCGGAGACTCGTAGGCGCTGAGGCCACGACAATGGTGGATATCGGCCAACACCGGATGACTTCTCTGCAATGTAATTTAGATGTAGGTGAGCACCACAAGACGAGAACCGTACCCGTACCTGCAGTTAAAAGTCGGTCCGCTAAGCTGCCATAGGCAACGAAATCAGTGAGGATGAGCTTCTCGTGTTCCCTGGGCCCCCAGTAGTAGCCCCGCAATGGAAGCACGTTGTCGTGCCTGATGCCTCCAAACCTTCTGGCCTCCATGGTGAATTCCCGCTTGCACTTTGCCAACCCTTCCTTGAGCCACTTGACAGTGATGGTATGACCACTGTCCAGTGTTGCTTTGTATGACGTTCCATGGCTGCTTCGGCCAAGAACCTCCGCTGGTGCTCGTGACAGCTCTTCGGCAGTGAAGAGCACGTCGCCATCCCAAAGGAAAAGATCGCCTGCTAGCTTGTCTGGGGAGTTCCAGCCTAAGGCACCCTCCTCCTCCCTCGCACTTGCTGGTCTCAGCGACGAGAAGAAGCCCTTTCTCGAGGGCAACCGTTTCAACACGTTGTCGTCCTTCTCATTCTCTACCTGCGGCTGCTGCTGCTGCTGCTCCTGCTGCGGCTGCTGCTGGTGATGGACCTTGAAATCTCTCTCCACAATCTTAAACACCGGAATGCCAGACTTGTTGTCACCTTGACTTTGCCGCTGCCTGTTGTAATAGACAAGGCCGACTATAGCGAGGGCTAGTAGCAAGGCTGCAGCACAACCGCCGAGGAGGCCAGCTTTGAGAGACGGAGACACTCGACCATTCCGCCGGGTTTTGTTGACAAGGCCCAAGGGCTGGTTGGCCTGTGGTGCATGGCCATTCCAGCTGGGGAAGCCATTGGACAGGAGCTGGGCGTTTCCAGGGTAGAAGGACGAAGGCGGGAACTTGGATTCTAGCTGGGACGGAATGGCTCCCGAGAGGTTGTTGTTGGAGAGGTTGAGCAGAGTGAGTGTAGGAGGACCGAGCGTTGAGGGGATGGAACCGGTGAGCTGGTTAGAGGAGAGGTCGAGCTGCTGCAGGCGATCGAGTTTGGTCACGTCCACCGGTATGTCACCCGATAGCTTGTTGTTGCTGAGGTTGAGAAACTGCAAGGTGGCCGTGAGGAGGCTGGAGGGAATAGCGCCATCCAGCTGGTTGCTTGCCAAGTCGAGAAGGCGCAACGGAGCGTCGGTGGCGCTGGCGGTCGGGACGGGAATTGTCCCGGAGAGCCGGTTGCTGGAGAGCTTGAGTGCTACGAGCGTGCATGAGTTGAAAAAGGTGGGGGGTATGGGGCCGAGCAAGGTGTTGCCGCTCAAGTCCAAGCTCGTCAACTTGGGGAAGCTTGCGAAGGCAGCAGGGATGCCGCCCTCGAGCTTGTTGTTTGCAAAAGCGAGTGAGGTGAGGCGCAGGAGCTGCGCAGTCTGGCTGGGCAGTGCGCCCGAGAGGGAGTTGTTGCTGAGGTCCATCCATTCCAAGCTGTTGCCCCACGACCTCATGACGGACAAGTTGCCGGAGAAGGTGTTGGCGCTGAGGTCCACTCGGGCGCAGCTGCCAAGCCGTGGGGGCAGGCCGCCCGACAAGGCGTTGCGGGAGAGGTTGAGCAGGGTGAGGCGAGCAGCCGAGATCGTCCAGACATTCCCTGTGGTGGCCATGCATGCACACGTAAAGACATGTATAAGGCCAGCCATTCTTACCTGAGAGCCGGTTGTTGCTCAGATCCAGCTCCTCGAGCAGTGACGCTTCCGCCGACAGTAGCGCAGGTGGCACAAATCCCGTGAACTGGTTGGCCCGGAGCTTGAGAACCCGGAGCGAGAAGACAAACTCAAACGAGGGGAGGGAGCCGGCCAGGGCGTTGGCGCTGAGATCGAGGATCTGGATCTTGTTGGCGAAGAGATTGTTGGCGGCGTCGTCTGGTGCCAGCGGGCCGGAGAGCCGGTTGAAGCTCATGTTGACGTAGAGCAGGTCCGGGGGGAGAAGCGAGGCGATCCAAGGGAGGGGGCCCGACAGGCGGTTGAGGGCGAGGTGGAGGCTCTGGATGGCGGGCAGCAGCATCCACGAGGAGGGGATGCTGCCCGTCAGCTGGTTGGCGGCCAGGTGGAGGCGCTCCAGGTGCTGGAGACGGCCCAGCTGCGCCGAGAGGCTGCCGTTGAGCTGGTTGCCCGACAGGTCGCACACCCGGAGCAGCTCCAGCGCCGCCAGCGAGGCTGGGATGGGGCCAACGAGCGCATTGTTGCTCAGGTCGAGCTCCTCGAGTGCCGACATGCCGGTCAAGGCGTCGGCCGGGATGGGCCCCGACAGGCGGTTGTTGGCCAGGGACAGCCTCTGCAACCGTCGCAAGCCGCTGCCCATTGCCGGGATCATCTCTCCGTCCAGCATGTTCCCCGACACATCGAGCTGCTCCAGGAGAGAGAGGCGAGCCAAGTCGGCAGGGAGCGGGCCAGACAGCAGGTTGTTGGCAAGCGACAGGTAGACGAGCGAGTGGAGAGCACCCAGCGTATCGGGCAAAAGGCGGCCAGACAGTCCCAAGCCTTGGAGCTCCAGCCGGCTCACCCGGCCGTCCTTGTTGTCGCAATACACACCATGCCACTTTGATGGGCACCCATTGGAGTCCTTGCTTTCCGGCAGCCATGACTTGGTGAGACTGCCCAGCGGATCTTTGTCTATTCCCTTCATAAAACTCAGCAACACTTGAGTGTCGTCAACACTGGCACCTCTACACCCATGGTGCTGCACCGCTAGCAGCGCTGCCGCCGCCATCACCACCACCATTGCCCATTCGACAACCATTCTGCTAACCTCGTAGCGCCTCCCTCGCCTCACTCGCAGCAACACCCTTCTCTCCCTCGCTTTCTCTCACCTCACACTACTTAGTTAAAATATACAATCTTCTTCCCGCCCGCTTGTCCAAGCTTCGAAGAGCGTGCTGGCCAGGCAGATCTGAAGGTTTGCAGTGCCAGTGAACACACAATGAAGAGAGAGGCGGCTGAAAATGACACACACAAACACTAAATTATATATATACAAAGCATAGTTTAGTTCAGCAGAGATCCCTTCAAAAATACAGGCCTAACACAAACCTCGTCGGATTGAATCCTGTTAACAATGCTGAAGTTTGCACCGAGTGAGAGAGAAACACAAACTAATACCTGAGATATCTACACTTACCGCACGGGAAGAGGACAACGAGGACAGCCACCGGATACAGGAAGAACGTAGTTCTCTCCAAAAAAGGCAGGACTAGTAGCAAGCACATTAGGTAAGGCAAGACTACAGCGAACTCACCATCATAACCAAGGAAACTGAGGTAGTGGTAATATGAAAGTGAAACCAAGAAGAAAAGGTTGGAAAGCAGCGTGGGGACGAACCCCCGAAGAATAAGCAGAGGAGAAAAGAAATAATGGATCACTGCAACCAGCAGGATGGCGTCAGTCCCACTCAGAGCGACATCTGTTTCTAGTCTCACCGTAGAGCACGATGAAGAGAGGAAAGTAGGCATTACAATGCACGTCAAACGCATAGAGCCATTCCACACGCTGTTCCACCACATGGCTGTGGATTGCTGCTTCTTCCCGGAGGTAGCGATTGCAGAGAAACCTGCAGCTACCGTCTGAACCTTGAACGACTCGTTACCAAGCGCTTACCAGCAGATGCTTGCCAAGGAGATGCCGGTGAGTAAAAAGTGAAGCCAGACGACTCCAACGACAGTCACGCCCGCCTGGAGGAAGCTGGAGCCGTACCTGTGGCGCGGAGCAGCAAGAGGTCAAGGTAAGGAGGGGAGCATGAGCTTACGCGGCACAGTAGGCGGAGGCAGCCAGCGCCAAGAAGATGCTGCTGATGACGGTGAAGGCTGGATCATCGCGTGCCCACTGGTTCTTGGTTTCTGCACGAAACAAAAGGCCCAACCGTTTGTGTTGCAGTTGAAAGCAATGGCGTCAAGCTTCGTACGCTTGTGATATTTGGTGTGCTGGTAGCTGTAATTGGGAAGTATGAGCTAAGGAGAGGTGGCTGTATGCTTACACGACTTTGGGTGCGGTACACAAGTGCAACATTTGCCAAAAGGTGTACTCGACATCCATTTGCCTCCACTGCAACAAGACAGTCAGCGGCAAAGAGAGAGAGGGAGAGAGGGGAGGGCACCTTGACGATCCGGCGCAGGTAGTGTGGCAGCTGCTGCTGCTGCGGGTGCCTCAAGCCGCGGCCCGCCGTGGTGGGAAGCATGCTGCTGCCGCCTTTTAGGGCATTAGGGCAGCCATCGCTGCCCTAAAACGCGAGGCGAGTGACATGGAGGTGGAAGCGGAGGCGCAGGAGAGGCCGCGGGACGAGGATATTATGGCGCATCACCAAGCCGTGTGCCAAGAGGGGACGTGCAAGTCCGAGTTTGTGGGTGACAAGGTGAGCCCTTGCTCTCGCTCCCTCTCATAACTCTCTTTGTTTTGTTTAGGAACCACTGTCGGTGCTGGCTGCCGAGTACGAGTTGGGGAATCCCGTGTTCAAAGCCAAGATTGAGGTGTGCCCGGGCGCCAACTCCGCATGCGACTAACTGACCACGGATTTTTCAGAACAGCAACTAGGGAAAACATATGGAGCAATCCGTCGGACCCGAGGCGATGGCAATTGCTTCTTCAGGAGCTTCATGTTCGCGTATCTGGTCCGCCTTGGCTTTCTCGTATTCGCCTCGCACTTACCACTGCCTCGCCCTTCAGGAGCACGTTCTGGAAGCGGAGGACGAGAGAGAAGCTGCCCGGGTGCTGCAAAACGTGGAGCAGTGCCGAAACGCCTTAGTCAGCTTAGGCTATGCCGAGTTCACCTTTGAGGACTTCCTGGCGGTGGGTTTGTAGCATTATTTGTTCCCATCTGAACCGGCTGCGAGCAGATATTTGTGGAACAAGTGGAAAACGCTCTACCGGGCAAGCCAACGTCGATGAGGTATCCCGCTACTCCCAGATGAGGTTTGGATTTCACCCTCAACTTTGTGCTTTCAGCATTGGAACGCTTGTTGAGCGCTGCCGCGATCAATACATTTCGAACTATGGTATGCTTGGCTTTACTCTGTTACGCCATTGTCATCACCACGCTGGTGTTGTAGTGATTATGTTCTTCAGATTTGTCACGTCGTCCGAGATACGCAGGCGAGCCGAGTTTTTTGAGCCATTCATTCTCGGGATTTCGAGCACTACGGTTGATCAGGTATAGGTACACCAATGGGAATGGCTCACCTGGCGCTCATATGGTTGCAGTTTTGCAAATCTTCCGTGGAACCCATGGGCGAGGAGAGCGACCACGTCCACATAATTGCCTTGACAGATGCCCTGGGTGTGCCTGTCCGTGTAGTCTATCTGGACCGCAGCATCTGTGACAACGGCAAGACCACGGACGTGAACCACCACGACTTCATACCAGGGGGAGCTGATGCAGAGGAGCAGAGACGTGAGAACCCCCATGTTGTCCTGCTCTACAGGCCAGGGCATTACGACATTCTCTACCGCAAGTAGATCTGTATTGCTTGTGCTCGTGAATAAGAATGCCTGTCTTTTACAAAGCAACGCAACCGGGGTGGTACGCTTCGTGCTCGTTGCCATCCGCATACGTCCGGTGTGTTGGGGGCAAGGGCACGTTGGAGCCGCCATCGGGCGCTAACAAACGACGGCACTGCCTGCAAGCATCATAGACAGTATAGAGGCGCGAGACTTATATACGTACTTGCAAGGCTTGGCAAAGAGAGAGCGATAGGAGAAGAGCCACGTCTGTGTCATGAGAGGAGCCTTTAAAGAGTGCAAAGAATGGGCAGAGGGTTTTACCAGGAGGAGGAGGAGGGTGGCCGAGGCATTGGCAACGCGCGTAAAGTGGTGCATTGCGTTGGTTGCGCACTCCTGCACAGGCAAGCGTCAGCCAAGCTCTCAGCCAAGGCAAGCACCTACTGAAATCCGTTGGAACGTCTGATGCGTGGAGGCTCCCCACGCGTCCATGTGCGGCTGCAAGAATCGGGTGAGTCCAATCATCAAAGTGTATATCTACGACCGAAGGGGACCTCGTTGGGCGAGTAGATGGCAATCGCATCCGGATTGGGAGAGCCAGCCGGGAGCAGTGAGATGACTGCCCTGAGCACACCAGGGATGGCGACATGGAGCAGTGCAGCATCGTGCACTTGACACGAGGGTGACTTGGCGAGGCGCGAGTGCGGAGTGATGGACATCCCTGGGGCCTCCTGGAGGCAGCGCTTCACCACGTCCGGCAGCGAGTGTGCTGGTGTGTTGCGCGGCTCCTCATCACCCTTGGCCGCCGCCTTTGCCATGTGTGGAAGGAAGCGCTTCTTCTGCTCGCAAAACGATCTGAGGGCAAGCTTAGTCCGATCAACTGCAGATGCCGCAGCTTGGCCCGCAATCTGGCGCTTCCACGAGTAGGCTACCAGCGCTCCGTCGGGGCACACCACTGGCACCTGGAGCCCCCATGGCTGGTTGTCCTGATACCGCTGCTGGGCACCCACAAACACCCCCGCCGACTCCAGCTCCTTGGCTGTATCCACGCACAAAACCTCAGCGCCTAGTGCGCCTAGCGCGCTTGCTATTACCTGTGGCGCGGAGGAGATCCATGGCACGCTTGCTACCTTCCACTGCCGAGGAGATGGCCTGGTTTGCTCGCTCCGGGTCGTGGACCCGCAGGCTGTCCGCACTGTCGAATGCCTCGAGCAGCGCATCCGCTCCAGAGCGGACATCTGCAATCAGCCGGATGGCTCGGTTCAAGCCCTCGAGTGCACTGGCAAGCTGCTTGGGCGGGGCCTCCATTCACCCGACCTAGAATAATAATATTTTTGGGCGGCGCTTCATAGGTACAAGGAGTTGGCGAACATGATGCCCCGCCGTATGCTCTCGATCCCTGCCTCAAACTTCTTCTCCAGCTCACCGTTGCCAATGGCCTGGAAAACTAACCGCAGCTGCACATGAAAACAAGCAACGTGAGCTTGAGTGTATAGAATAGCATCCACGTCTACCTGGTTCAAAAACTCTTCCAGCCTCCTTGCCACCCGGATAATGCTACCTTCAAATATGTCCGTCATCTCGCAGATCTCCGCAAAGCTTGATCCCTGCAACTCATATATGTCACAACTCACACCCAGCCCCCCAAGATTTACATGATAGACGCACCTTGGACCAGCTGTAAATCACGTCCATCAGATATGGTTGAAACTTTTCAACGTAGTGCTCCACTTCTGTTTCCAGTTTGCACTCCCGCTCCACCTGAGAGACAGCCAAGGGTGAGAATCAACTTTCAAGTCCCACAAGAGTCATACATACCTCGGCAATCATTCGAGCCGTGTCTTGGAGGCGCCGGAAAGGCCAGGCCAGCTCCGCCTTGAGATGAATTTGCTCATTGGATTTTTCAATTGGTAGAAAGCAGCTCGAGAGCGCCACAATCTGATGGTGATCAAGATCGTTGAAGAGCCCTGCATGCCCGCAATCTAAGACTGGTTCGATGCACATTGTATTTTACCCTCAAAGATCAGCTCCGCTACAAGCAGCTCATCCGCGGTGTCAATCAGGCAAGCTGCGCGACCTTTAAGCTGTACGACTGAGAGCTCGTTTATGTGTCCCAGCCGCTTCAATACTCTCGTCCGGTTCCGAAGCTCTTCCCGAAACTTGTGCAGCTACGCAAACGAAAGAAACCGGGAAGTTAGTAGGTCCAGAAACCCAGAGTACACGCACGTACTAACCTGAGAATCTCGCAGTCTAGACCTCAGCCGCTGTGCTTCCGTCAACAGCTCGGCCTTCTTCTGGAAAGCTGAATAATGGCTTGCCTCTTTCTCCGACTGGGAGTAACGGCATGTCGTCAATACAAAGACCCAAATTTTCCACACGTACCTTGTGTAAAGGGTGGACAACCAGTTTTTTCTCCTCCTCATCAATTTGCTTCACGATACTCACAAGCTCCGGATCATCTATTTGCATGTCCTGCACAGCCGAAACAGAGTCATGCCACGACGAAACCATTGATGCACCTCCACAGGATCCAACCGTGGCAAGCCGTCCGGGAATCGTCGTTCAAGCTCCTGCATTGCCATCAGTACACTCAATCGGGCATCCGCTGGCCGCAAATCAGTGGGAACAGCCACCCTGAGTGTACTGATTGCACAGAGCAGGGTCATTTGCACGGGGACCTGATACGCCAACACCGTAATCAGCGGCACACAAGCCAGTCGACACGCGGACACACTCACCACATGCATCTCTCCTTTCTGCCCCGGTGAGCAGGGCCTCGGTTTCAAACGCGAACCGTCCAGTTCCATACCCGGAGCACAAAGTAAAAGGGTGTCTACCAGGTACGAGGCAGCACGGGGCGCTGCCACAATGGTTGAGGGGAGCGGTCCACCAGGCGTGGGTTTCTTGACGACATTGATGACAACACCCCATCCCCAATCGTCTGCTCCGTCACGAACTTTCACCTGGCAAAACAAAGTCATCCACAGGAGGCAACCAAAAGAAACCCATACCAATCGACCGGGTTGTAGAAATACAATAATCCGATCAGGCCGGATAATTTCTGACATGAGCTGTCTTTCAAGTTCTGCAAGCTTTAGTCTTAGACGGTGGTACTCGGCAACAGTCTCCTGAAAGGATGCAGAATCAGATGAGGTAACCACAATGACTTGGAAAGCACCTCTCCCGCCGCATCCAGCAATGCGGCTTCTTGTTCCAGCTTGTTGATCCTGTTCTCCATTTCGGGGACATTCTGCAAGCAATACCGACGTTCAAACCCGAGAACAGATATAAATCGGGCAATCACACCTTCTCGTGCTGAAACTGATGGAAAGAATGTTTCATCACGTACTCCATGTCAAAGTGCCCCTCTGCACGGCTCATCAAATTCAGCAACGAGTAGTAGCTGAGTCTGAAGGTGCTGACTAGCGGAGCAGGCTTCCCCAGGATCATTTCCCTGCACGTGCTGACATCCATCTACAAGCAAGAGCGAGCGAGCAGTCCGGTTTCTGTCAGTTGCTAAACTCTACCTGGTCATCGATCATTATGATGCAAATCCCACGCTCGTCCTTCCCGCGTCTCCCAGCCCTTCCACTCATCTGGTTATAAGCACGTCAAGCGGCATCACGTTGATAGGCGAGATTATACCTGTATGTACTCGCCTGACGACATGTAACGATGAGCGTCACCATCCCATTTCCGTAGGGCAGTAAAGACGACAGTCTTAGCAGGCATATTCAATCCCATTGCAAACTGGAAACGAACTGGTGAGTCAGAAAAAGGTAGAACACGAGCGCCCACCGTTTCTGTAGCAAACAAGGCCTTGACAAGGCCCTCCTGGAAAAGGATCTCAACTATTTCTTTCAAGATGGGGAGTAGGCCCGAGTGATGGAAGGCAACCCCACGCTTGAGAAGCGGTAATAGTTGATGGATGGGCGGGAGGCTCCGGTCTTCCTCGCTGAGGCACTGTATGGCGTTGGAAAACACGTGTTCCACGTCCATCTTCTCTTGGTCGCTGTTGAAATCAAGCTTGGATACCGAGAGCGCATACTGCTCGCACTCCCTGCGGCTGAAGCTGAAGACAATGACGGGCTGCATGGAACGCTCCATAATCATCTGGAAAGAGAGGTCATGTTAGGGGGCAGAAGAGGAGAGGCTCATGCAAGACCTTGACTATCTTGTAAATGTCCGTGGATACTCCAGCAGAGGCCTTGGCACCCCCTCGTCCTCCACCTCTCCTGCCTCCCCCTCCTCGCCTCCGCCCCGGGGGCGCGAGGGAATCGTCCGGGCCAGCGTTTCTGGATGACTGCTGCAGCTTGGCGAAGTTGTCGTCCCGAAAGTGGCCCTTGTCGTCCACCATGAGGTAGAGGCCGGAGCCGCCCATGGCGAAAGCATAATGTTGAAGCGGAGTGGGCCTGAAGTCGGTGTAGACAACATGGCACGGCTGCTTGTGCAGGTGGCAGATCCACTGCGCAAACTCGGTGGCGTTGGACATGGTGGCGGAGAGGAAGACCATCTTGATGGCGGGTGGCAGGAGGATGATGCTCTCCTCCCACACGACGCCGCGCTCCCTGTCCCGCATGTAGTGTATCTCGTCAAACACAACCCACGCCACCTCCCTGAGCACCTCGGAGCCCCTGTAGAGCATACCGCGCAAGATCTCCGTGGTCATGACAATGCAGGTTGCGTTGGGGGACAAGCTCACGTCGCCCGTCATGAGGCCGACGTCGCTGAACTCGTGGCTGAGCTCCCGGTACTTTTGGTTGCTCAGGGCCTTGAGGGGCGACGTGTATATGACGCGCTGCTTGTCCCTGAAGGCCATGGCGATGGCATACTCGGCAACCGCGGTCTTACCGGCCGAGGTGTGGGCCGACACCAGCAGCGACTCTTTACGCTCCAGGCAGGCGATGGAGATTTGCTGGAACGGGTCCAGCTCGAACGGGTAGCTCTTGGCCCTGTCGCCCATAAACACCGGCTCTCCAATGCTACCGTGCACCGCCTCATCCAGCTGCGCTATAAAGCCTGTGGGCACCGCCACCTCGTGGACGCAGCTGCGCCCGAGCATGGCATTGGGCTTCTTGCCGCCACCGGCCGCGCCAGCCTCTTGCTGTTCCCGCTCCTTCCTTTTGCCCGCCATCATCCTCCTTAACCTAAGCTGTCGCACAAAACCCTAGCTAGGAGTAGACGCAGTGACAAGCGAGGGCGTCGCGGATGTGTTGCGCGTCGTCGCCGTCGTGGTGTTGGCCCGTGCTCGCCTCCACCAGCGGCACGTCGTCGTCGTCGCAGGCGTGGTCGGAGTCGTGGCGGCCCAGCAGCACGTTGTGGAGAATGGCGCAAGCCACAACCAGCTCCACAGCCGTGTGGACGTCCACGTTCATAACCTTGGCCAGCACGCCCCAGTTGGTGAGCGCCCCGAACAAGTCCTCCCCCACCGCCGCCGCCTGGAGGAGCCTGTCGTTGAACTCGGCCTTTGCGCCCCTCGTCTCGTCCCCCTCGTGGAGGTGGTAGGGCAGCATCAACCACGGCAGCAACGGGTAGCTGGTGTTGCTGCTCACCAGGTACTGGGGAATGCTGACGGGTGTTGCTCGGGACAAGTCCATGAGGCCGCAGCAGCCTCCCGTGAGCAGCAGGCCGTCCCGTAGCTTGGCAAACAGCCCAGACTGCTTGAGGATCTTGGCATGGTGGACGCCCCCCGGGAAGCCGACGGCAATGTTGAGGATGCGCATGGACGCGTCCACCACCAGCTGTGCCGCGATGCTGAAGTTGGTGTTGTGGTCCAGGTAGCTGGAGCCGCAGGGGCCCGAGGGGCGCCTGATCCGCAGGTGGAGCACCGTGAGGAGGCCGCAGCAGTTTGGCAGGGCCATGAGGTTGTGAAAGCCGCGCGCCACCCTTGTCAGCGCCGCGGCATCCGTGGGGAAGGCGAGCACCGAGCCAAAGGCGGTGGACAGCGCCGCGTACACCTCCCGCGTGCACGTGAGTACCGTCGCCTCGCCCACCGCGAACATCTTGGACACCTCCACGTAGGACGACCCCGCCGCCAGCCTGTGAATGGCGATGGCGATCCTCTTGCGCGGCGGGATGCTGCTTCGGAAGTTGGTGTCGCTCTTGTGTACCAGCGGTGCTAGCTCGCTGCACAGCCACTCGAAAGTCCCCGGGCTCATGTTGAACAGCCGCCGCGAGCTGTCGGCGTCCAGCCTGCCCGCCACAAACTTGTCACACTCGAGCAGTCGTGGCTTCACCCACCACTCCTTCTCCACCCGCCTGCGCTTGGCCCCCCGCTGCGCAACCGCCACGCCCTGCAGCGCCTGTATATGCCACCAAAGCGCCGCCACCCTGCCGCTCATCTCCTCCCTGTGACTGCTCACCACCCACGTTACCATCTTGGTCACCAGCTCCAGCATGGAGCCCAGCAGCACGGCAATTCGCTGCCGACGCTCCTCACGCTCCCTCGCCGTCCCCGCCATCAACTGCATCAACCCCCATCCGTCATCTCAGAACCCACCCACTGATCATTCATTCCGGTACCTCTTCTTCGTCTTCGCTCTCGCTCCACAGGCCAGGATGAATCATCTCTATCTTGCTACCAAAAGCCCTACCGAGGTTGAAGAGGCGGCATTCTCATGTTTTCAATTTATTCTAGAGGAGCTTGCCAGTTTGAGGAGAGCTTGGAAAGCGTCAACGCAAGCACTCGGACGCCATTCGCCATGTCCTCCAGTGTGGCATGCTCGTCGGGCCTGTGGCTGTAGCCCCGGTAACAGGGAATGAAGATCATGGCGGTAGGGGCGATCCTGAAAGAAAACACCAGAACTCAGCGTCTTGAAGAAGGATATACACACCGTGCCATGAAGAGAGAGTCGTGATACGCTCTGCTGATCATCATTTTGTGGCCCAAGCCCAGCTCCTCCGATGCTTCTTTCAGGGCTTCAATTACAAAGTCCGTGCTCTGCGCTGGCGGGTCCTGGTTAACGACTGTAAAGTTTTGCAACACCACACCGCGCCTGGCCGCAATTTCGTGCGCGGTTGCGCGGACCCTCTCCACAACGGCGTCCCTTCGGCTTCCATCGATGTCCCTTATGTCTGACCACAAGCAAAGTTCAAAAACTAGATGCGCGGCGTGTTATTACCAATGCCAAGCTGTGCATTCCGCGGGATGCTATTGATCGCTCCTGGGTACAGCTTAACCGTACCTGCAATACTTTGTCAAAAGTTGGCATATGAATCCCCACATACCGGTGGTTCCAACCGTGTCTTGGGAACCAGATTCCAAGACGTGCCTCTCTACAGCTAGAGCAAGCTCGGCGGCAGCAAGCCCTGCGTCATTCCTGTAGTCGACGAGCCGGCGGGAAAAATGTTTTATGCACAAGCCTTTGAGCAGAATGCAGGATCAGGAAACCAACCTGAGATGCATCAGTACGGCCCCGGCATGACCTCCACCCCCTGCAAACTCGACACCAAGGCTCGCAGGCCCAGCGATTGCGGTGACAATCCCGATGGATACACCTGCCGAGAAACACAAACATAGGCATCGAAAGAGGGGGAGGAATCACCTTGCTCCTCGAGAAGGGGGCCTTGCTCAATGTGCAGCTCTACAAAAGCGGCATATGTCTCGTTTCCCACGGCAACACTTTGCAGATTGTCACCGGCCTCGTCATATCCAGCTCGATTTGCGGCTAGAGTGAAGGTTACATTGTCCTCGTCAACAGCATTGGCTAGGGAGACGGCCACCCTGGGATCCCCCGCCATCACCCGGCTGTTAAGACAGACAAAGTTGCATAAGCACGACATGCAACGGACCAGTTGCCCCTCACCTCCCAATGCAGCTCAGTCCGAAGCGAGTGGGCTCCTCGGACGTGAACATTATGGCTTCCAATGATCTCTTGGGCTGGAATCCCGCTCTGAAACGAGGGCAGCAGAAAGTGGGCACCTCATGCTTGATTTCCATGCTCACCTCCTCAGAGCTTTGATAGCTTCCACAGCGCCTACAACACCAACGACGCCGTCATATTTCCCAGCGTAAGGAATAGCATCCGTGTGTGAACCCGATGCAACAACACCCTGGGATGGCTCGCTCCCTTCCCTGCTTTGCTCGTTTGCATGTAGTGTGAGTACAAAATGAAGCTTACCAGCGGCCAAAGATATTTCCAATAGCATCCTCACGGACAGTAAGCTGTGCTGACTCCATAAGTTCTCGAATGAAGCTGCGAGAAATCAGGCCCTGTCGTTAGTTGATTACACCGTGAAGAATCCATGCACCTTCTTGCTGCAACATCATTGTCCGTGTAGAGGATTCGGGTGACCGATGGAGCTGGTGTATCCGAAAAGGTTGCAAGCTTGTCTATCTGTTGGTTTGATTTATCGTACATGAAGGCGAAGCAACTAGGAAAGGAGCACTCACCGAGTCCTGGATGTCATCGGGATTGACATCGAGGTTGGCTGGGTCGAAACTGGTGCACAAGCTGCCGAAACGAGCCGTGGGGCAAGAACTGGTCAGGCCCACTGGATCCTCTTGGGCGTCGAATGCTAGGAGGAGAAGGAAGAGTGAGTGGAGGAGCGCACAGAGCAGCGCCATGGCCGCCATCTGATTAGAGCGTAGAGACCCAAGGCTAGGTAGAGGCAAAATTGAATTGAAGAGGAGAAGAGGTAACAAAGCGCGTGTACAATAAAAGAAACAAGGCGATACGAAGCACACAATTTTGTCTTGGGAATCAGCGCCTCCTGCTCATGATTCCTCGCGCCAGCATGGGGTCGGAAGGGCAGTCGACGGCGATGTGACCCCGGCCGCCGCAGTTGTGGCATACCACCACCTGCCTGCAGTCCTTGCTCATGTGGCCCGGTTGCTTGCAGTTGCGGCAAAAGATATCGGAGTAGGCTCCCAGGGCGCGGGAGGATGGCGGCGGCATGGAGGAGTAGGGGCACTCACGGGCAATGTGACCCGGCTGGCTGCAGCTGTTGCAGACGGGAGTGTTGGAGCAGTCGCGCGCCAGGTGGCCCGACTGGCGGCAGTTGTTGCATGCCTTTTCGTTGGGGCACTCGGCGGCCAAGTGCCCGGGCCTGTAGCAGTTGTTGCACAGAAGCGACTTGGGAAGGCCAGTCTCTTGGACGATGCAACCCTTGGCAACGTGCCCCGACTTGCCACACAAGTTGCAGATGGGTTCGTTGCGGCACTCGCTCGCAATGTGACCCGGCTTCTTGCAATTTCGGCACAGCGGCTCTGTTGGGCATTCGGCGGCGATGTGCCTGGAAGGGCACGCACCAAGGTCACAATCGAGCGCACAAAGAGAAAAAAAATAACACCAAAGTACCCAGAGATGCCGCAGTTGTTGCACACTGACGCATTGGGGCAGTCTCGCGCAAAATGTCCGGTGCGGCGGCAATTGTTGCACAGCTCAACCAGCGACCTGAGCACCATGACCTAAGGGCCGCAAGGCAAAACAAGATGAAACCCACCTTGACGGAGCGCGGCTTCTTTCTCGGGAAGGCAACCTATACGGAGCACTCCGGCGAGAGGAGCGCTTGCCCACAATGCCACTCTGAATGCGGCGCCCTCTGTGTGACGCTAGATCGTCCAAGCTCATCCCAAGCTTGGTCTGCGTGTCGAGCGAGACGGACATCCTTGCCAAGAAAATTCTTACCCCACAAACTGGTTTAGGGCTCCAATCCAAGCAAGACCTAAAACTTCGCTCTGCGTTCGGGACGTTAGGTCTCCTCCCCAAAAAATCAAAGCCGTAAACAGAAACAAAAGATTTCATTCCTCTGCCAAGACATCCACATGTAGGCGCACCAACTTTATCGACGCCACCGCCAACTCCAGCCTCCATTCCCTCTGCCTCCTGTTGAGCACCCTGCCCTTGCCCCGAGCTTCCCTGTTGACCCGCACATTGGCCAGCTTCCAGACGCTCGTCAGCGATTCCCTGTCAAACGACTCCAGCACCAAGATTTGCTGCTGCTCCACTGAGCCATCCGCGTAGTAGACCACCTGCATTGGCAGCTCCTTGAACCGCTCTAGCTCCGCAGGGATCTGGATGACACGCTCCGCACCAGGGCTCGACACCTCTATAGCAACGTTAGCAGGGACAAGGCCAGCGCGTCCAGCCTCCTCGATAAGCGCCCCATACTCCGTGTTGAACTTCTCCACCTCCTCAATGGTTGGAGAGCCAAACCTGAGGAGTACCATGAGGAGCAGAGCGCGCAGGAAACAGGCATACCTGTCGGTGAGTTTGTCCAGCCGCACCTGTATGAAGCCCGTGGAGCACACTTTGAAGCCGTAGAGAGCAAGCTCCGGCGTCAGCATCCTCCGGGCAATCTCCAAGGCCCTTGCACCCCAGGGAGCGCCCCCGAGCACCACTCCGCCTCCATCCTCACCATCCCCCACCTGGCACACACAAGTCTCCCCATAGCACAGGCGGCTCAAGATGAAGCGAAGCGCTCACCTCCGCTTCTTTCTCCCCGCCGTCAAACCCTCCAAATCCGTCATCTTCCAAGGTCGAGCACCTTACACTGTCAACACAGTGGCCATAATGCAAAGTAGCAAATGCGCTTGATACACACCTTGGCTCTCATCGCCTGACTCTGATCCATCCGACCATTCTTCCGCGTCGCTCTCCTCCTCCTCCTCCTCCTCCTCATCACGGGTCGCAGACGACGGGGGCACGGCACCACCGGCAACGGGGCTGCGTGCTGTCCTTCTCACGCTTGTGCCCGGACATCCCGTCATCCACGACCGCGACCGCCACAAGAGCGCACCAGGCGAGGCGACGCATTGGCACCGGCGATTGAAGCCACAGCGGCGACTGGCCACCAGCAGCGATGCATCGCCACACACCAACGTTGCCGCTGCTCGTCGCATTTCTGCCAAAACCCTCGGCGAATATGCCCCGGCTATATCTACGAGCTACCCTGCCTTTGACAAGAGACCTAATCTCTTCAGATTTAAGCAAGGTCCGGGATCTCGTCTCTTCTGCAAAAACTGACGTGTTTGGATCCAGCTCGTTTTTTCCCACTCCACAGCGTCTGCCAAATGGGGGACAACGCCAACTCGAATGAATCCAGCTCGCCCTCTCTGCATCTGGCAAGATCTCCTCCCCAGCCCTCGCCAATTCGGCTCTCCAAATTCGCATCTGTAAGGCTCCCTAGATCTGGATTGTGTGATGCGTTTTCTGTGTGTTTTGTGCAGCAAAAGATGAGGATCCTAGTCACTGGCGGCGCGGGCTTCATTGGATCTCACCTGGTTGATCGCCTCATGGAAGCTGGTACCAATGAGGTGCGTGGTCGTGCATGAATCCGCACGCGTTTTACTTGCCGCGCAGGTGATTGTCGCTGACAACTTCTTCTCTGGGACGAAAGACAACCTCAGGCGCTGGATCGGCCATCCAGACTTTGAGCTTCTGCGCCATGGTATGGTGCGCACAAGTGTTGCAACTATGATCATGCTGCTCCCTGTTTCAGACGTCACGGAGCCTTTGCTTGTGGAAGTTGACCAGATTTACCATCTGGCATGTCCCGCTTCTCCCATCTTCTACAAGTACAATCCCGTGAAAGTGAGTAGCTGTTTAAAAACACTACTAGTTCATCTCAATGCTGGCTTTTCCAGACCATCAAAACGAATGTGATGGGCACACTAAATATGCTGGGCCTTGCCAAGCGTGTTGGAGCCAGGTTAATCTCCTCTCTTGTCACAAGAGCAAGCAAACTAACTCGCATTCTCAAACCATACAGGATTTTACTCACGTCAACCTCCGAAGTTTATGGGGATCCACTGGAGCATCCACAAAAGGAGGAATACTGGGGCAATGTGAATCCCATAGGTACGTGCACCAGATATTTGTCTTGTCTACTGCCTGCTCATTGTGTCAAGCAGGTGTTAGGAGCTGCTACGACGAGGGAAAACGCGTGGCCGAAACGTTGATGTTTGACTATCACAGGCAGCACGGGATTGGTGTGCTCGATTGCTTTAGCTTGATGACGCTGGTTCTGACGTCCAGTAATTCTCAGAGATAAGGATCGCTCGCATTTTCAACACTTACGGCCCCCGGATGAATATCGACGATGGACGGGTCGTTAGCAACTTCATTGCCCAAGCTCTAAGGTATGCTGCATGCGAAATGGATGTCCTGCTGTATAATCTTGACAGGGGGGAAACAATGACCGTCCAAGCTCCTGGTAGCCAAACACGCAGCTTTTGCTATGTTTCGGATCTGGTATGTTACGTTCCCATATGTTTGCAAGCCTTTACTTTTAGCATCGATGCTTGCAGGTTGACGGCCTCATCAAACTGATGGCTTGCGATGACACTGGTCCCATCAACCTCGGAAATCCAGGTAAAGAAACAGAAGCACCATCTCTTCTTTTCTGGCTGATCGTCTCGTTTTCAGGCGAGTTCACCATTCTAGAGCTGGCAGAAGCCGTGCGAGAGGTTCGTAGCTTTGTGTATATAGCTAGCTAAACAACTTTGAACTGTTCAGCTGGTGGATTCATCTGCTAAGTGGAAGGTTGTTGACAACACTCCAGATGACCCTCGAAAGCGCAAGCCAGACATTACGAAAGCAAAATCCATATTGAAGTGGGAGCCCAAGGTTTGTGCGAAGTCTCTTTCGGCCCCTAACCTCTGTGTACATCGTAACCAGGTTGCACTTCGAGACGGATTGCCGTTGATGGTTGAGGACTTTCGAAGCAGGCTGGGCATACACAAATAGGAAGGCTACTACTCAAGTTTTCTTCCCAGGCTTATTCTTTTTACTGGATGTGGGAACTTCAAGGCCCTTCTGTTTGGCCTTCCTTGCGAGAACTGCAGGCCTTTTCTTCTTTCTTGCGTCACCCTTTTTGGCGTCTTTGCCTGCCACAGTGAGTCGCTGGGGAAGGGCGCGTCTCTTTTGTCCAGAACGGCTACCTTCGTAACTCCGAGTCTTCACCTTGCTTTCTGTTGCAGGCTTGTTGTAGCGGCGCCTTGGTTTCGTTGTCTCTTGTTGGCTGCGATTAGAGACTCGACGAAGCCTCAGCTTCCTGTTGCGCAGCTCAAGAGCACCTCTTTCAAATGTATGCTTGGCATCGTCCTGGAATGCTGAGTGAGGTACAAGTTTTGAAGGCACAACACGAACCTTGGACTTGAACAGCACAAATGCGAAACCTTTGCCAATGTTGGTCTTCTGATCTCTGACGACACGCACAGCCTCCAGCGCCACATCAGGAACAGAAAACAGAGCATAGAGCTCTTCATCCTGGAAGTGTTCACTCATGAGAAGGCAAGATCGTTGCTAAGCCTGTACCTCGACATCCAAAGGCAGGTTTCCAACAAAGATGGAACGATCCTTATCGTAAGAGACGGCTCCCTTGGACAATTGACTCCGGGCTCCAGCAATGTCCACACGGATGTGTTTGCCTCGAAACTGCAAAGCTAGATATAAGCCTGGAAAGACTGTGCGGTTTCCTTTGTACCTCGCTCATGTTGTATGTGAGCGCCGCTCTTGCAGAGTCTACGTGTTTGAAGACAACGTAGGCATTCAAACTGTGGAAGGGAGAGAGAGTATGAGACAGGCAGCAGGGATTGCATACCTGCTTCGGTTGTCGCTGAGGTTGCGAGTTATGACAGCGCCCCTCCTTGGCATCTTGGTCTGCACAAAGCATCGGAGATATATAAGCTGGTTACACTTTGGATGTCCGGCTCACCGTTCCAACAGGCACCGATCGCAAGCGAGCCGACTCGATGGCTCCGAAGCATGACAAGGTCCTAATCAGCACCTTCTTCCTTGTGTCCAGTGGCAGATTACCCACAAATACGGTCCTCTGCAACTTCTCGTCGCTGTCATAGCGGCATTCCTCGTCTTGTTCCCGCAAGCTAGCATCAGCTTCATCTTCCAGCTGCTCATCATCACACTCATCGCTATCTTCATCCTCCGTTACCTCTGGTGCTGGCCTTGGCCTCTTTGGCATGCGCGCTGCTTCTCCATCATCCACATCCGCGGCAGCGCGCTTGAATGGATTGGAGGAGGAGAAGAGCGAGGAGGCGGCGGCACACACCTGTTCGGGCGCCATCGGGAGGCCTTGCCCTAGTCTGACAAGCCTAGGTCATACTCGTATGGCTGCTGTGGCCGTGCAGGTGTGGTGTGCGAGCGCCTCGATCGAACAGGGGCTTGGGCGGCGGAGGCAAAACGCCAGCAGCGTCGAGTTTGGCGGCAGTGGTCAAGAGCTGCTCGGGGCGAGGGCGGCGACACCAGCAAAACCGGAGCAACGGTGGCGCTGGGAGGACATTCTGCTCGTCCACGATGCAAGCGATGAGCTGAAGCGGTCCATTGTCTCCAAGAGGAAGGTGGCGGCAGCCGCGATGGTGGCAGCGATGCAAGCCGCCAAGTTTGGGCCGACCTTCTCCAACTGCATTGTTGGCCACCTCTCCCACTTCATGGACACCGTCATCACCAGGGCAGTGGTGCTCAAGCGCGACCCCAGCTACGCTCACCTCTCCTTCGCCACCCGAGCCAGGTACTGCATTGACAAGTCCCGCGTGGTGCCGCTGATAAGGTGAGCGCAGCCAGCTCTCGGCCTCCCGGCTAGCAGCGCTTAACGCGTCCTTGTCACGTGTAGATGGCTGCGACACAACAACTTGACGGCCTCCAAGATTGGGGAGCTCATCTGCTACGTCGGGGACGAGGTGGATCACCTCCGCTTGCGGGTGGAGTGGCTCAAGAATCTTCACGTCAAGGGGAGAGACCTGGGTGCGGTGCTCAGCAAGCAGCCCGCGCTCCTCCTGCGACCTTTCAACGAGCTCAACCACAACGTTGCTCTTCTGGAGAACGCGGGACTCAAGAGGGAGTGGATGGGACTCGTCTTCACCTTCTCTCCTTCGGTCTTGCTTGAGGATCACGACCAACTCAATCGAAGGATTGGAATGTTTACCGAGTTAGGAATTGACGAGTACAGCTTTGGAACAATGGCATTCAACTTCCCTCCTATCCTTGGCCGTCTTTCAATCCAGGAGATGGCTGCAAAGGTTAGTCCCTTCTTTACGTTTTGTATAACCTATCATTCTGGCAGTTGGATTATCTGCGAGGCTTTGGGCTGGGAGACCACACAATCGGAAACATGGTTGTAACGCGGCCTCATTTACTGGGTGCCAGTGTGGAAGAGTCGTGGCAACCAATTGTCAAGTTCCTGTATTGCCTGGGCATTGAGCGCTCAGGCATCCGAAGGATTCTGTCCCTCAACCCCTCTGTCCTCTGCCTCGACCTTTCCATAAACATTGTTCCAAAGGTAGCGTGCTTTCTGCCACCTTTACCGGCTCTCACGCTTAACCATGGAACAGGTCCAGTTTCTGAGAGCCATCGGCGTGCACGAGGAAGTGATTGGGCAGGTGCTCGTTGGCTTCCCGCCGTTGCTCACCGCAAGCCTCAACAAAAGGATCAGGCCCGTGGTAAGTTTGTGCTGTGGAGTGAGTGGATGGTAGTAAGTGACACGGGTGCCCAACAGGTCCGGTTTCTCCTCGACGATGCTGGTGTGAGCGAAGACAAGATTGGCAAGGTGATTGCGGCACAGCCCGAGATCATAGGATGTAGCCTCAACCTCCGGCTGTCGGACAACGTGAGGTTTTTCATGTCCTTGGGAATACAGAGCCATCAGCTGGGCCAAATGATCGCAGACTTCCCCATGCTTGTCAAGTACAATCCAGCGGTTCTTGAGCCCAAGTATCTCTACCTCAAACGTGTAATGCGACGGCGGCTAGAGGAGGCGATCAAGTTTCCCAGGTACATGTGTATAAAAGCAACGTCAAGCTTGGCTTGGCTGACTCAGTTTCTCAGGTTCTTCAGCTACGCTCTAGAGTCGAGGATAGTTGCGAGGCATGAGCTGCTGGAGAGCAAGGGCCTGCAGTTTAGGCTCAAGCAGATGCTAGCTTGCAGCGACGAAGAGTTTGGACGCAAGGTGTACGCTGCGGAGCGAGGCCTTGTGGAGAGAGAGACAAGCGACAGTGATGATATTAGGGCTTGAGGTGAGATGGCCTGCCCGTTTGGTGGAGCGACTCACGAGGTGAGCGACAGCAGCCCCAAGTGCCCACTTGGCTACGACACTGCCTCGTTCAAGCTCGGCCCCTTGAGCTGCCTAGTGTGCCGGGCTCTCCTCTTCAAGGCCGCGCGCTGCCTTCCCTGCCGCCATGTCTTTTGCAGGTAAAACACAGACGAGACGAGAAATTTGTGAATGGTTTTGGTCTCGTGGCAGCGCTTGCATTGCCCGCTTCAGCGACTGCCCCCTGTGTGGTGTCGACATAAGCGGGCTTGAGGAGGATGGCGAGCTGCAGAAGCTGGTTGACCAGTTCATTCAGGGACACGCCAGGGTACGGAGGCAGCAGCAGCAGCAGCAGCAAGAAGAGGGGCCTGTGGTTTACGAGGACGCCAGCCTCGCCAGGGGAAGCTTTCTCCTCCAGCATGCCATGCGAGTGTGGTGGTTTGTTTTTTGCATCGAGCCATTGATGGATTCGCGTCTCGACGATGCAGGCCTTTCAAGCGCAAAACCTGGAGAGCTCCAAGGCTAGACTGGACCTTTGTGTCGAGGACACGAGGGAGATGATGGAGACCAAAGGGGCCTCGGCGGAGGTGTGCTCGCAACATGGTGCTGTTCTTGGTTTATTGGGCGACTGCCTGTAAGTTGAAGGCTTGCATGCAAGCATGGCTGCTTGTGATTCCATGGGAGCGTTTTGTGTGTAGGCGAGCCATGGGAGATTTGGATGGCGCGATGGACAAGTACGCAGAGAGTGTGAGCGTCCTCCAAGCCATAACTGGCGTCGACGTGAATGCGGAAGTGAGCTTTTCCCCACGTTTGTATTTAACTGAGCTCTCGCTCGTAATGCACAGATTGTTCATGCATTGTCGGTGTCCCTTAACAAGCTGGGTGATCTCAAGTACTACGCGGACGATCTCGAGTGCGCCCTGGCCTTGTACAAGCAGGCGCTACAAGTCCGAGACAGGGCTCAAGCTGGCCGGAACGACTTGTCAGCAGAGGTACGTCAAGATAAGGGCTCGTGCCTTTTAACGTTGGCGTCTGTGTGTGTGCAGAGCATCGACGTGGTTGTGTCGTTGGCCAAGGTTGCAGATGTGCAGCGTGCCATGGGACGAGACAGCGAGGCGGCGGAGGGATTTGCCGCCGCCATCACCAGGATGGAGCACCTCACCTGTCCGCCGTCGCCACGGGATGAATCTCTGAATAAACGGGTACGACTTACTATTTGTGTCCCAAGCTCACTTCTTGTTCCACGCACAGCGGGCTTCCGTTCTCGGCTTCCTCCATGCCCAGCAGCAGCAGCAGCAGCAGGAGACGAAGGCGAAGAAGAAACAAGCACAAGCTCCTTGATTCGAATTTCTCTCATTTTCAATAATAAATAGCGCGTGTAGTAAAAAGAAAAAGGGTGTCCGGAATCGAACCCCAGACGCAAAAGGGAGCTTTAAGCGTGTATATATAATTCCCCTGTTTCTCTCTCTCTGCGCTGTGCGGCGGAGCTCCTGGATCGGGGCGGCGGTTTTTGGATCGGATCGGATTGCGGATCTATACCACCCTTTGCTGCCGCCACATCCATCCAGCCTTTGGGTATGCTCATTCTCATGGATCGCACCACTTGATTGTGACTCCGTGTGTTGTGTGACAGATTCGAGGATTGGGGCCTGGGCAGCTGACTTCCACGAGATCGGTTGCTGAATCCGCAAAGTATGGCGGGATGGTTCAAGGGGACGGTCAAGGCTGTGCCATCCGGGGATTCTCTGGTGATCATGGGAACCGCCAAGGAAGGAATCCCGCCAGAAAAGTCCATCACGCTTTCCTCGCTCATGGCTCCAAGGCTGGTGAGTGCAAATTCTGGTTTTGCAGGCAGTGATCCGGTCTCATGCCTTTTGCTGGCTTGGCAGGCCCGAAGGGACACCAGCGATGAGCCTTTCGCATGGGACAGCCGGGAGTTTCTCAGGAACAAATGCATCGGGAAGGTTTGTGTTCATGCTCGCCACTCCCTACCACTTCTCTCACGCTCGTGGTCGTGGCCATCTAGGAGGTGACTTTTAAGGTGGACTATGCCGTTGCAAACCTCAACAACAGAGAATTTGGCTCTGTGTTTATGGATGACGCCAACGTCGCGCTTGCCGTTGCCAGCGCTGGATGGGCCAAGGTACAGGTGATGCAAACCTTTGCTTAGATCTGCCATCGTTCCTGCAGGTCCGACAAGGTGCAGAGAAGAGTCCTTTTATCGAGGAACTCCTCAAGGCTGAAGAACAAGCACGGCAGCAGGGCCTTGGAATATGGAACAAGGTACGAAATGGAGGAGGTTGCGCCCCACCCTGACTATAAGCTTGTCACCTGTGTTGCAGGAAGCTGGCGAGCGATCCATACGCTCAATCCCCCCATCTGCAATCGGTGACACGTCCACCTTTGATGCCCGTGCTCTCCTTGAGTCCAGCAAGGGGAAGCCTCTTCGGGCATTTGTGGAGCAAGTGAGGGACGGGAGCTCATTCCGGGTCTATTTACTCCCAAGCTTTCAGTTTGTACAGGTGCATCTAGCTGGAGTTCAGGTATGCACCAATCCTTTCCTTCTTCCTTTTTTTTTTCTTAGCAGTCGCTCTCAGGCTCCGTCAATGGGAAGACGGGTGGCTCCGGCCAGTGCGGGAGGTGGCGGAGATGCCAAAGACGCGGAAAACGGAGAGGCAGGAGAGGGAGCAGCGGCACCAACGACACTTACCACTGCTCAGAAGCTGGCAGCGTCCACCAACCTGGAAGCTCCCGAGGAATGGGCAAGAGAGGCAAAGCACTTCACGGAGTGCAGGATCTTGCATAGAGAAGTATGCTCTCTTCTTCAACTTGATTCATCCCCTGATTAATCCTTGTGTGGCAGGTTATAATCGTCTTGGAAGGGACGGACAAGTTCAACACCTTGTTTGGGTCTGTCAAATACAAAGAGACTGTAGACCTTGCCTTGGAACTCTTGCAACAGGTAGACTCCTGCTCCACTCTTGAGTCCTTGACCATTGCGAGGATTGCAGGGCCTGGCTAAGTACGCCGAATGGAGTGCCAACATGCTGGAAGAAGACGAGAAGCGCCGCCTCAAAGCTGCTGAACTGCAAGCCAAGAAGGACAGGCTCCGGCTGTTTGCTGGATTCGTCCCGCAGATCAATACCAAGGCCATCAAGAACGATGTCTTCACTGGACAGGTACCTTGTTGTTGCTCTTGGTGTTTTTGAGCTAAACTCGCGCGCTCCCAGGTGATAGAGGTGACGAGCGCCGACTGCATCGTTGTCGCCGATGACGCGATCCCGCTGGGAAGACCGAATTGGGACCGTCGTGTTAATCTGTCGAGTATTCAGGCACCCAAGAGAACTGATGCGGAAGCGCGCTTCAGGGAGGCCAAGGAGTTCCTCCGCTCCCGCCTTATCGGGCAGCAGGTTGGTTTGGCGCGCTCTTTTGTTTGTTTCTCTCTCAACCCGCTGCTTGCATGGTTCAGGTGCGTGTGTTTATGGAGTACTCCCGGACCATTACCACCGATTCCGAGGCCGGAGGGACCCGGCTTCTTGAGTTTGGTTCCGTGTTCTTGTCGTCGGCTCCCCAGGGCGCCGAGGTGTTTGAGCCGCCGCTGCCCGGGCAACCCGAGGGCTTTAACGTGGCAGAGCTGGTGCTGGCCAATGGACACGCTCAGGTTGTGCGGCACAGAGATTTTGATGATCGCTCGCATTATTACGACAACTTAGTCGCTGCCGAGAGAAAATCTCAGAAGCCCGGGAAGAAAGGAACGCCTCCCAGTGCGCCAGCCCATATCAACGATTTGACTATGGTTCCGACTCAGGTATGGTCAAAACCCTGTATAGTGTTCGGCCTTAACGCTCCGTCTTTCTGCAGACAAGCAAAGCCAAGCAGACGTTACAGGCCAAGCAGGCCTTGCTTGCGAGCAAGGCCAGGCAGTTCTTGCCATTCCTCCAGAGAGCAAGGCGGCTGTCTGCAGTTGTGGACTTCGTACTGAGTGGTCATCGGTACAAGCTGTTTGTTCCCAAAGAGACATGCTTGATATTCTTTTCACTCTCGGGAGTGAGGTGTCCTGGGAAAGGCGAGCCTTATTCAGACGAAGCGCTCGCTTTCATGCGGCGACGGGTGTCACAGCGCGACGTTGAGGTGCGTACGTGGTGCTCTTTGTCCGCCTTAATGTTTTAGCTTTCGCCAGATTGAAGTAGAGACAGCGGATAGAACTGGAACTTTCCTTGGTAGCCTTTACGAGGGGAAAGTAAACGTCGGTATCGGTCTCTTGGAAGCAGGGCTGGCTAAGCTGCAGCCAGGTTTCGCGGAGAGGATCACGGATGGCCATCTCCTCATGCAGGCCGAAGAGCATGCGAGAACGCAACGTCTCAAGGTTTGTGGCATGAACAAGCTCAAAAGTTGGTCTGACTAGGTTCTGTAGATCTGGGAGAATGTTAGCGACGATGGAGAATCCGAGAAGCAATCGACGGACAAGCCTTCCAAGCAAGAAGTCTTGCAGGTAACTCTTGTTGTTTTCGACGTAACAATAAACTTCTCTAGTTTCAGGTGCAAGTTACGCAAGTGCTGGCTGGCGGATCATTTTATGTGCAAGAAGTGAGCGATACCCGGGCGTCCAGCATTCAGCAGCAACTTGAATCGTTGAGCCTTTCTGAAAAGGCAGCCCCCGCGGGTTTTACTCCGGAAAGGGGACAGCTAGTACTGGCTAACTATGACGGTGCTTGGTATCGTGGCCTGGTGAGTCCACTTTTGTGTGGTTTCTTGGCATATAATCAGAGCTGAGCTGATTATAACGGCTTGTGTTTCAGGTTGTGAACGCTCCAAAGGCTGGCAAGGGTGAATACGAGGTGTTTTATATCGACTATGGAAACCAGGAAGTGGTTCCTTTGTCTCAACTGAGGCCCATTGACCCCTCGGTGGCTGGGACGCCAGGCCTGGCGCAGTGGTGCAGCCTTGCCCACGTCAGAGTACCCGGTGAAGGAGAGGAATTTTGCGAAGAGGCGGCCGAGTTTATCTGCACAAGCAAGACGATGATGGCCAAGGTGGAGGGACGGGACGCGTCCGGCGGCAAGGTCAAAGGCCAGGGAAGTGGGACGCGGCTCATTGTGACGCTAGTGGACGTTGACACGAGCATGAGCGTGAATGCGGGGCTTTTGGAGGTGAGTGGACTCAGGTCCATTGACAAGAGGCATTGTTCTGATTGATTTGTGCTTGTGGTGGACAGGCTGGGCTTGCGAGGGTGGATAAGGCTGGCAAGTGGGACAGCAAGGAGAAGAGGGCCGCCTTGGAGGTGTTGGCGGAGCACCAAGAGAAAGCTCGCAAGGCGAGATTGAACATCTGGCAGTATGGTGATGTGGATGGAAGCGACGACGAAGATAAGGGACCGGGAGCACGTAGAGGAGGACGCAAGTAAGTCCACCCTCGAGGATTTGAGAGTCATTTTTGTAGATTGCATTGATTGATTGATTGATTGATATGGAAATTGCCATGTAGCAAGATTTCTATCCACAAGCCTCGCAGAGAGCCAAGCAGCACAGTTATCTCTGCAGCTTGCATTACAAGCATCAGAGGTCGTTTCTCGGCTGAAATCATTCACGTTGATCAGAGTCTCTCCCTCACATGAAAGAAACATCTCGCAAGCAATGTCTATAACCGATCCATTCTACCTGATACTAGCATCCAGCCTCTTGATTCGCGCAAGGAATGGACAATCCGCCTTGATAGTTTTAATCAAAACACCCAGTTTGTCAGAACATTAAACCTGTCCCTGTCCCTGCCTTCAGTGGACGATCCACCTTGAGGCACTCGGTTTGTTGCTAAGAGCACCAAGTTGTTCCTAACGATAACAAGAAAACAAACAGATTTGAAAAACTTGTTTGAAAACCATAACTAAAGCTTGTACATACTCACAAAACCCCCTTCGTTGCAGCAGAGATTCGCAGATTCAGACAGTGAAGAGAGTTACTCAATTGTGGGAAGAGCATTGCAACAGCCTCATCATCAATAAATTTGCACCCAAAAAAAAGATGGAACGCAATAAACCTGGGAATATATAGAAATCCTTGGTCATGGAGAAAAATATGAATGGAAAAGGTGCATGGAACTAGCTAGACTCAAAACCTAGAGTTTGTTGCATCCTTCTGATTCCTTTGTCTTGCACATAATATAGACCATTCAAACTGTTTTAGGGCTTATGTGGAAATATAAATTGGTTTGTTTGATTGAGTTTAAATCAGGTGGTACTGTACAGGGACCCTGTCCGAAGGCAAACTTTCTCAAGTTTCGGAAGAGCAGATGGAATTTTACAAACAGCCCTCTTTCTAGCTGCAAAAGAACAACAAATGCGTTTCTTCAATACACATAAAACCAAGGAAAATGGAAGTATACCTTTTCAAGAACCTTGAGATTGGAGCATGTTTTACAGATTGCTTGCCATGTCCCACTAAACGTAGACTCCGCATGGAGGGCTTGGTGCTATTATCTTTGATCAACTTCCAAGGTGTGGAGCTATGATATGCAACACTCCAGGAGAGAAACAGAGCTTGAGAGACGTGAGAGAAGTTGGCATTGGGCTGTAGAAGCTGCTCGATTATCAACAGATGGGATGCCACAACACAAAGATCCGAGAGGTTTGAGTAGCTTTTGAAGATATCATTGACATGCTCCTAACCCAAGTCATTGCTCGTGGTGAGGGGCTTTTAAGCGCGACTCCAAAGTCACTGCTAAGTCACACTCACACCCAAAAGCTCCAGTGTGTGAAGAAGAGGACATTGAGAAGGCACGGCAAGGAGAAAACTAGACAAATCCTGATAATCTCTAGGCTGTGGAGAGGAGCTCGATGAGATCTGAGCATCGAAAATCGTGGCTGAGAGGTGGCAAAGATGAGGAATGGTGGAGACAGTAGAGACGATCTTCTCTGCGTTCTGGATAAGATAATAGGCAAGGAGATAGAGAAAAAGCGCGAGAAGAACCACATACCGCGGAAAAGTAATGCTTGTGACGGTCGATGGGTGCTTGCGAGCTGGTTTGATGACGTCTTTTGGTTTCAGCCAGACCTGATCATCCAGCCACCGAGAGAAGTCACTGAAAGTATCGAGAAGAATGATCAGCTCTAATTACATTCTTTACTTACATGAGATTGGCACAAGCGCTTCCCACAAACGCAGCCCCGGTGAGGAGCTCCCTCGTTGGAATGCAATCGAAAATGTGGTCGTCATCAAGGTCGCCCGTGGTGGCATCGTCCTCACCATCACCGTCACCCGGAGCTTCCCCATTTTGCTATTTATAAACCAGGTTAACGAAGGGCAAAAAAGTGTCCAGGGGGCAATGTGGATCTTGCCCATTCATGAGGCGATGGGGAGGAGGAGCTGCCATCCAGAAAGATTTGCAGGTATGGAAATGTATAGAAAGTGCAGTGGCACGGCAGATGCCTTGGATGGAAGATCACAATGTTTTCTCTTGCAACTGGCATTTACCCAGAACAGGCAGTTGTGACATCTAGCAAATGCTCAACGATGGCAAGCATCTTATTGCATTATATTGATGGTATTTATTAAATTAAATCTGACTAAAATCCATGTGCTAGTTGTCACTACTCTCTAACCCAATAGCAATGTTGGTGAAGATTGGACTTAATGGGGATCAAATAAGGGATATTAGGTTTTTTATGTCTTATAATATTTTAAAAATGTTAAAGAGTGGTTATAAAGTGATCACTCATAGATGAATGGTTTAGTTTTAAAGAGATGGGATCATGGTATATGTGGTATTGGAATACCAATAAAATAGTGAAAATGGACATGGCCTTAGTAAAAGAAATTAAAATATTAGTGGTACTTTTGAGTTTTTGATATAGGACTTAGACAAAATACTTAGGTGCAAAGTCATTATAGCTTTGAGTTCATTTCTAGGGACTTATCTAATACCTCAAGTTGGGATGAAGATCTTTAGAGATTGTGAATGAGATTTTTCTAAGTGGTTAAAGATGATTAAATTATTATAAAGTAAAGTGGAAAATTTAATTATTTAAAACTTAGTATTAAAGTTATTCTTTAGTGTAACTTTTATTAGTGTGTACATAACTAAAGGGAATGATTCAAAAGATGATCTATAAAAGTTCAAATATAAAGGGAAAAGGCTTATAAATAGGAGTGCACCCTCTTTTTTTCAATCGGTTAAAGGTTTTGGGATACTTAGATTAAACATTCTTGGGTTTAAATACTATTAAGCTTAGTGATTTTTTGGGAAGTCTAAATTCAAAAGTTTATATTTAGTCTTAAATAGGTCTTAGGTCTAATTATGTTAGTTGAATAAGAGAATCATACCATATATTGAAATAGACATTTGGTAAGTTTAGTTTGATTAGTAGATTGTAAGTAACCAAGATAATTCATATAAGTTCAAATATAAAAGAAAAGGCTTATGAACAAATTTGCATCCCTTTTTCTAATCGGTTAAGGGCCTTAGGATATTTGGGGTTAAAGCATTTTTGGGTTTGAATAACACTGTAAACAACCAAAAAGAACGATCTAGGTTAGATAACCTTTTGGGCAAATTCAAGAGCTTACATAGTAGTTAACTATATCACTACTTGATATTGACATCTGAAAGAAGAGGGTAGGATAAAGATGATACTCATGAATTTGAAATTGGAGTTGATGACCGTGGATGGTTGTAAATCATAAATTTCTCCTTTCGAATTTGTTACCTTACCTCATCTATACAACCACCATTGTTTTAATTTTAATTAAATTCCCTTACCAAAGTTCCTGCCTATAGTATTAACTCCTACTTAATTCTACTTAGTTTCAACTACTCACTATATAAGCAACAAAATGTTAGTTATCCATCCACAGGTTCCCAAATTCTCTCCTAATCCCCCTCCCCAAACTAGATTGGATTTAAAGTTCAATTATATTCCCGTAGGTATAAGTAGCTAAGCACACTAGACCTCTAGGTTCCTAATCTCCCTTGGTACAACAAGGCTTGATTATGAGACCTTCTAAATACTAAGTTTTGGGTGCATCTTTTGCTTTGAAACCCCGAGGGGAAACATCATGACCTAACGGCTTGGTACCTTAACCCTAGTCCCAACCTCAAATCAATTTAGAAGCACCATTAGAGAGTTCCTTCAAGATTGGGTTTTGGACCTCATTACCCCTATTGTACTTTTGGAACCCCCTGCAGCCCCCCACAACCTGTATTAGTTTTGGATTTGGTCTCAGCATTGCCTTCAACTTGATTTCGGACTCAATCTCAAATTCAATCTGGGAGTCGGTTTTGGACACAATTTCGGACTTAGTCTTATCAAATGAACTCTTTATCATTTCGATCTTGATTTCAATGATCCTTTAGCCTATAACATTTATAGAAGAAATTTGATGCCCATATTGTACATTTCTATTTAATCCTTTAACTTGTTGACCATGTTTCTGTGAGACATAAAATCCCTAGTGTAAGCGACTAATTTTTCCATTCTACTTTAATCACTTAACCACACCTCCGACCACTTGGAGGAGTCTCATTCACAACCTCCATAAGTCCAATTCAGGACTTGGGACTTGCTAGCCCCGAGAATGGCATCCATGCCACTCAACATTTGCACTTGGTCCAAGTGCTCCACGTGTCTGATCCCATGACCGACACTCAAAGGTACCACCGACATGGCATCTTGTTACGCTAAGGCCATGCCCAATCACCTTTGCCACACTGGTAGTCCAATACCACATGCATCCCAGTCTTTGGCTCTCCAAGACTAGGCAAACCATTCGTGAGTGGTCATCTCAGATCCACTCCTTAGCATCCTTAGGATGCCCACCGACAAGGGGAATAGCCTTCCCCAATATCCCTCTGTCAGCCCCCACTAAGTCCCTTTCTGCCCCTGGCCGTGTTTGCCAACACTACCATTGGTTCGAGGCCCACAGGCCTGACCACTAAGTCCCACGGTCCTCTGGGACTTCCTCACCACACGACTGTGTCCTTGGTCACTACCCCAGAGGACTACTCCTCTTCCTTTCCACAGTCTGGGCCTTTGGGACAACATTTCGGAACACCGTGGCCTTACGCGAGCCACCTGGGTACTCTCCCCGCCTTTCACCTTTAGGTGCTCTAGCCATGGGCTTAGAGCGAGGTTCCGTTGAGCCACACCTAGTATCCAAGTAGGTAGTGCCACCCACACTTGGACTGGGAGCATCGGCCAGTTGATCTCCCGGGGGAACTAGAGCCGGCTCTTGAACACTTCACCAAGCTACCCTGCTTGTCGGTCCATGTTCACTCTAGTCTTGGACTTCCCAGTGGTCAGCTCATCACCCAACACTGGGTCTGGCCTTCCTGGGCCAAACTGGCCTTTCCTGGCCAAACTGGCTCCACTGCAGTCCTCTCCCTTACTATACTTTTGGAGCTCACCAAACCCCCCAGGGTCTGGGAGACAAACGCTTTGGGCTTTCACCCTCTTAGACTCGAACTCGGACTCGGACTCAGACTCGGACTCGGACTCGGACTCGGCCTCC